CTTCATTCATGGCCGTATTCCAATTAGGGTCCCCTTTTGCTGCCACATAATTAGAAGGAATAGAAACCGGGTTAGAAGCAAAATCAACGTAATCATGAAGCCATACTGGAGATTGACCAATGTTTGCGCGATCAGACCGTCGAATAACCGGAGGCTGGTGTTCAATTTCTGGAGGAGGAGGATTATGAGCTGATGATGAAAAAGCATCGGTCGTCGACGCTCCAGGAGAAGAGGAAGGACTTGAGCTGTTCGTCATTCCTGGAGATGCATACAAACTAGAGTTGTCCGTTATTGCTAGAGATGCGGAAGATGGAGACTCAATCAAAATAATGAGTAGATGGAGGTGAATTGTCCAAATCATCTCCCGAATTCCCTCCCTGAATATGATGCGGAGGGGGTACCCAGAATCAGCTAAAAAGCTGGTAATGTCGTGAGAAAGTCCAAAGATTTGAAAGCTTCCGCCTTACTAATGCTATAATATTTAACTTGCTCCAGGAACATCCCGTCACAAGGTACACGCATACGACGAGCAATAGGATTATAGCACAAATACCCTTTATGACGATCACTATACCCAACAAATACACATCTGGCTGTCTTTGGTTGTAGTTTATTTCGTTCCTTTTTCTGCAATAGAACAAAACAAACATAACCAAACATACGTAAAGTAGTATAGTAAGGCTTTTTATGCTAAAGACTTTCATAAGGGGATTTGTTTTCCAGAACTGTAGAAGTCTGACAGTTGATCAAGTACACAACTGTGTGTACAGCTTCGACCCAGCACGAACTCAGAACTAGTGCATGGAACAAGAGAGAACGTGTGCGCTCTAGGACATGTCGATCTTCCTCTCCACTACACCGTTTTGTTGAGAAACCCTAAGACAAGAGAGTTAAGAAAGAATGCCTTGTGATATATAAAAGTCTAGCAACGGTGTTGAGGTGAACTCGCCTCTAGTGTCAGATCGAATAACCTTCACAGTTCTATTGAATTGAGTTTGCACCATCCGAATAAATTCTGTAGCAAATGTAATTAATTTGGATTTTTGGCGCAAGATATAAACCCACGTGTATCTTGTAGTATGATCAATGAACAAAGCAAAGTATCGATAGCCTAGCTGAGAGGTGACAAGCGAAGGTCCCCAAAGATCCGTATGAACCAAAGAAAATTGCTCATCATACACAGTATCACTCGCACTAAACGACGATATGTGCGTCTTGGCCTCAATGCAACTCACGCAAGAAGATAAAGGATCTGGATGATGGGAAATGTTCTCTGGTAAATAATTATTCTGAAACATATAAAGCAATCTAGTATAATGATAATGGCCCAACAGATAATGCCATAAATCCCAAAGAGAAGTCTAAACCAAAATATCCAAAGGTTTAACGGAAAAACCAGAAACATCAGTATCCAAAAGGTTTGATTGCCTATCACTACTATTGGACTTCACCTCCAACTGCGTCAAAGTCTGCTGCTAGTATGCATCCAGCACGAAAACTCGGCCCTGTCTATGTCCTGTCCCGATCACCCTCCCGGTTCACTAGTATAACAACTAGTGAGAAAAGGGTGGTGCAGCCCCAGTAGCAAAGGCGGAAGTTAAGGCACCTAGGAGTGCCGCCTGAAGAGCTTCGTGTACCGGGCAACGAATATCGGCTTGAGAAAAACCCCTAAAAGATGAGCCCGCGGGAGAACCCGCTGAGTCCACGGCATAACCCGCCTGGAACAACCAGGGGGAGGATGACGAGCGGCGTAGTTGCGGCAAGCAAGAGTCGTACAGTCGAAAAGAACATGGCCCGATTTCTTGCAATAAGAGAAAATATTCATCCTTTTACAATGAGGCTGAATATGACCAACCTCATTGAAAAAAAGACAAGTAAGAGTATTATAGTAAGGAAGCCGGAACTAAGCGTGGCCGAAGGCAGCACCACGTCAAACGGAAAATGCAGTATCCGACGAAGCAGCTGGTGAATCAAGTTGATCTTGGCATTTAAGTCGAGTCTCCTCGCAGATGAGCTCAGCAACGAACACATCAATGCTGGTCATGTTGGAATTAAGGAGAGATGCACGAAGAGACTCAAACTCCGGGTGAAGACGCATAAAATATTTCATCAAGCGAGAGCGAGAGCGCAGCAATGAGTTGGCCGAGGCAGCGCTAGTGAGCAAAGAGGTAGTCAAAAGATCATGCTCGATCCATAGATTGATGCACGTGTGATAGTAAGTCCGAAAATCGCGATCCCCTTGACAGGAGCCAAGTAATAATCGACGAAGATGAGTCCACATAGCTGCCGCCGTAGAAAATCGACGAAGAGTGAGGGTGGTGAGGGGATCAACGGAGCCTAGGAGCCAAGTGATGATTTGGGAATTGTAGGCTACCCAATCAGAAAGATCCTTGGCATCCGCAGTCGAAGTAGGGCCCAGAGCATCGCCCGTCAAAATATCAAGTAAACGACGCCCTTCAACTAGGTTGCGAAACTGGAATTTCCAAAGAACAAAATTCTTGCCATAAAACTTTATGGTTAATTGATCGACTTTGCTAGGATTCATAGTAACGCTGACGAGAAGTAGGAAGAGTGCTTAAGTAGATGAAAGACCAAGAACGAGGGAAAAATCCAAGCCCTAAACAAGAAGCCAAAAGCACGACGCCAATGGAACAAGCCGTAAGGAGCAAAAGTGGATAAGAAGAGGAAAAAACCAATCCTCGTAAACAAATTTGACGAAGGAGAGAAGCCGCCCAAAACCCAGAGACAAGACGCGGCGACAGAGCTCCCGAAAAAAAAAAGGATGAACACTGTAGCCCAGAGAAAACAGTTGCGGATGAAAAGAATGAGGCCAAGCCCTAAGTCATGAGGCTCTGTACCATGTCAATTAAGCAAAGATAAATCACAGAACATAAAGAAGACACAAAGTTTTTTAATGTGGTATCGTCCGGAGACACTAGTCCACGAATAGGATCTCTATCTTAGGTTTTAATTTTATCAGTTTTCTTACAACTTGATACAATATTTGCTATATATCTAGAGAGCCATGATAAAATAACATATTACCTACCCATTTAATGTGGCTATAAGCGTTCTACCTGAGCTCATAGCCTATGTGGCACTCACAGACCACAACATGAACATAAGACAAAGGGCTCAAGGTGGAAAGTCAGGTGGCGCCAACTCTTTGACCCGCCATCATGCCAAGCAAGAAAGGAAATTGGCATATGTCGTGCTTTTCAACTCTAGATACGGACTTCAAAAGAAACACTTAGTTGGGCAGTCCATTAAGCTTACAAGACGCGCCTAGTTCATAGGAATAGAAGAAAGAGACATTCATGAGAGATAACCTATATCCGTTATCCAACTTAACGACGAAAAAATACAAGTGCTACTAGGGTACATCCATGATCTCTATCCTTTTAATTCTTTTGCCTTTTCTAATTTTTAGGGATGGCAACGGGTCCGGTCAGGGCAAATAGTGCATATCCGTTACCCTACCCAAATTAGTTCGGGTTTTACCCATACTCATACCCACACAAGAATTGGGTAGAAAATCAAAACCATGCTCACACGCGTTCGGGTTTCCGGTATCCACGGGTACCCGTGGGTAATAATTTCTCTTTATAACTTGAGCCAATATGTTAACATTAACACTTATAATCACATTACATAAGAGTTAAAGTGCGACAATATATCACTAGAATGAAGAAAATTAATTAAAACAATACAATTTTATGAAAATATTATGTTTGTATGCTAAATATAAATATGTTAGAGAAAATTAATGATTATTTCTAGACAAAATACATATGGATGTGTATAATCGGGCGGGTTCGGATTGGATAGTGAGAAAATCATGTCCACCCATTACCGGCAATATTCGTGTTTGGATTTTACCCGTACCCACTAAAAATCCTTTGGGTTCGGGTTCGGGTTTTACCCTATCCTATTAGGTCGGTTTTGGATGGATATCCACGGTTACGGATATTATTGCCATCCCTAGTGATTTTGATCATGGTTGACATATACTAGATTTGCGGTGCAACGGAAATATTGCATGTCCTTGTTAGTTTTAGAATTGGTGTCTTTAGTTTCCGGTTGCTTGTGTCCCACGTTAGTTATGTGGAGAGAGTCTTTTGCTTCTTTCTCTATATATAGCATGTTCATTATTGATGGCTATTGTATGGGTACAATTAAGAAAATAAAACTCAAGCCGTGAGTTCCTTCGAGCTCACCATGGATTAGTCTCGTTCGATCATGAACGAGGATACCACGTAAAACTCGCGTTGTTCGTGTTCTTTTAATTCCGCATTATCAGATTTCTACATGATATCAGAGCCAACTAAGATCCAGGGTTAGGTTTTTCTCTTCATCTTTGGCGCCACACAACTAGGGTTTTTCAGAGATCTCCTCCCCTACGGTTGTGCGCTCTTCATCGGCCTCTTCAGCATGGGTTCTGGTCAAGGACCCCTGGTCATGGGTTCCGCTCCTCTCATTGATGGTTTGTCTCCTCTTCATCTCCATCCTTCGGATCATCCTAATCTGATGTTTGTCAGTAAAGCCCTCACTGATCTCAACTACGGTGAATGATGGCTTAGATGACTAACTCATTGCTAGCTAAAAACAAACTAGAGTATGTTACAGGAACCTTACCGGGTCTAGATTCTGGTCCTCCGCTAGAAGCTTGGGTTCGCTGCAATGTTTCTGTCGTTGGGTGGTTGCGCACGGCTATATCTCGCGATATTCGCAATAGCATCAGTGCCAGCCTCTCCGCCCGATAGATTTGAGATAAACACAAAGAACGTTTCGGCACCCACAATCTTCCCCATTGCTACAAGCTCCGCCGTGACATCACAACTCTTCGTCAGGACAGGTTAAGTGTCGAAGCATTCTACTCCAAGATGAAGCGTCTTTGGGATGATTGGCTTACATTGGATCCTCCCGCTCGTTGAACTTGCGGCAAGTGCGAGTGCAATGTCGAGCAACGGAGTCGTTCTTCCAATGTGGAGATATGCCTCCTAGATTTCCTTCTTGGACGGGATGACAATTATTCTGTCGTCCGCAATCAGCTTTTCTCTATGAAGCCCACTCCTACTCTTGGTGCCGCCTATAAGATGGTGGCCAACGAGGAACAATAAAGGAGCCTCTCTCATGACACGCATCCCCAAGTCGACATTGCCGCCTTTCAAAGCAAGGGTGGTACCCTTTCCCACGATCCTCGCACTCCTGAAGGTCGTCCGTGGTGCATCCATTGCCAAAAGCCTGGGCATTTCGAGCCTACATGTTATGAGCTGATCGGATATCCGCAACGTTCTGTCCAGCCATCGTCGCAAGGAGGGCAAGGCGGTAAGTTTGGTGACAAGTCCAAACATCGCTCCTCCAAATCTGCTCGTTCTTATTGACTAACTTCTACTGTCACTCTAGGAATTGGCCAAGTGAAACCACTTCCTAAATTGTAGTATAGCGGGTTTGGGTTTTAATGTCAACCCGGGTCCTAGATTTGATGACTACTCGGTGAATTCTTGTTATCTAGCCATGAAACTTTAGTGCAAGTCTAAACTAACAAACAAACAAAGCAAGTAAACGGTTGTTTTCAGGTTAAGAGAGGTTACCCGGATATGGTTCCCCCTAGACTGCAGTTAAGCCGGATTGCAATTACCAAGTTCAGTTTCTATGATAGTTATACTGCGGAAGGTTCTTAAACAGCCTGAAGTCTCGACTAAAGGTCTTCAGACCCTCTCAATCTGAGTCTCTAGCGGGCGACTAACCTCCACCAGAGTAAAACAGATTGAGGCCCTACGAACAAAACCTCCACTATCGAAGTGAATTCGGTACAGAATAGTGAGTTGGCTCCTCGACTAAAGTCACCAACTCCCTACCTTCAATCAAGGATGCTCTATCAACCTAGGCAGATATTCTCATTCTAGGTCAAAGCAGAAACAACAGGAATTTGATCAGGATTCATGCCATTCAATCTTTCAAACCTCAATTGAATATAATCAAATCATAGAAGCAGTACTTGGGTTCATACAATCAAACCTAACATACAAATCTAGGGTTCTCCATACCCAGATGAATGGGAGAACTACTCCATGGAGAAAGAAGCAAAAGCAGAATCAAACGCGGAATTCATACTTTGAAGGATGGATTCCTGCTCCTGGACGTTGATTGGCACTTCTCCAAGCTCAAGGTGGCCTCCAATGGTGATGAAGATCAAGCTAGGGCACTTGGAGACTCTTGTTCGTCGCTTTCTCTCTCTAGGAATCGCTATGTCTCTCTAAAACTCAAATCCCCTTCTGTTTTGGCTGAAATCTGCCTAAAAGGGCATCACTGGGCAAAACACGGTCGAGGGCACGGCCGTGCTTTGCTCCAGCCCGCCCGTGCTTTGCCCCGTGTTAAAAACACGCCCGCGCGCGTCGGCCAAAACACGGTCGTGCCTAAATATGGGCACGGCCGTGTTTTGATATAGGCGCGCCCGTGTTTTTACTGCCGAACATGTTCCCCTATATTAAATGCTTCGTTTCTCCCTCGTCCGGACTCCGAATCAGTCTCCGTTTGATCCCAGACGCTCGTAGTCTCGTCCTCTTTATTTTCATGACAATATTGCATGATTATTTGTCCATAAAGTGAGGTAGAAATCCATTCTTCTTCAGGTCATGCCCGAGTTTCTTCTCCCGGATCGCCAATTGATCTCTGATTGACTTGAAACTTGCGTCTATGCTTCACTTTATGTGCTAGGACCTGAAATGTGACAAAGGAACACAACCTAGCGTAAAATAGGCCAAAGACGCGATAATTAAATCTCAAACGATCAAGAAACAAAGGGGAAAACATGTGCAAATATCGAGTCATCACTTATGCTAAGGCAGTTTCCATTGAGAGTGAAGGCAGCAGCATCCCCGGCTTGACTGTGGCTCAATTTGCCCAGCTCAAGGCATTTGTGAACATGGATTCTCACGGCAAACCTTCGGTTGGGATAGCGGTCAACATGTTAGGTAATGCTTCTTTTTCTTCTTCTTCTTCTTCTTCTTCTTCTTCTTCTTCTTCTTCTTCTTCTTCTTCTTCTTCTTCTTATTATTATTCATGGATTATCGATTCAGGTTGTAATGAGCATATCGTTACGAATGATTCCTTATTTGTTGGAGAGTTCGAGAAAAACTCTGATTTGCAGGTTTTGATTCCCAATGGCAATAGGGTTCCTGTTCGTAATATTGGCATGACTCAGTTGCAAAACATATTGGTTTTGAATTGGGTCTCACATACGAGATTTTCAGTGCAACTTGTTATCTGTAAGTTAAGGGTGTTCAAATGGTTACCGTGGTAATAACAAAACCAATTAAGCCTAAATTTCATTAACCATGGAATAAAATGTCTTAACCAAACCGTCCAAATTAACACGAAAACCAAATTAACCAAACCAAAGTTTAATTGGTTTGGTTAATTGGATAATCGGATTAACCAAATAATTAACATTACATTACATTAAAACAATTATCCCGTTAATGAATAAAACATAACCATATGTTATTATTATGATAATATATCATTATATATAAGCAATAATAATAAGACTAACCATACATGATTATCATCATCATTCGAGTTAATACATCATTCATCATCTATGCACCTAATATAGTTAGCTTACAACAAACCCTTAACATAAAAATTAAATACATACCAATACCACTCATCAGGAAGTTAAAGCTCCCCTACAAAGCGCTTAAACTATACATAGTTTGAGGTGACGGTCATGGTATTTTACGTAATCCTAAAGTCTAGTAGCTGTCCAAAATGTTTTGGTTTAGTAAATAGGCAACCCATTTAATTTTTGACTCATAATGCTTTTGTTTGTTGTGCACATGGAAATAAAATAGGGAATCACGGAGGTTTGGTTGGTTGCATGGAAGTATAAATAATTTTGTATATTAGGTGTATCATTAATTGGTTAATTGGTTAGCAGTGTTGAAACTAAACCAAACCACCGAAACCAAATAAGCTAAATTGTTTAACCAAATTAACCGAATGCTACCAGTTAATATGGTTACCAAGGTAACCAATCGGTTTGAACACCCCTACTGTCAGTCGTCTCACTGCAGATCATTCTGTGGTTGTGATATTCTTAAGTGATTTTTGTGTTATTCAGGACTTAGTCTCGAGGAGGGTGATTGGGATGGGGATTCAGAGTGATGGTCTCTACCAGTTGCAAGTTTTCGGACAGAGTCATCCAATGGCATATTCGGCGCGACAAGCATTGGGGCAGTCTGAGCTTTGGCATTGCCGCCTCGGACAGCCCTCTGGGATGAAGTTGTTAGCCTTGCAACCTTATATTTCGTTTCCTTTATTTTCCAGTACAGTCCCGTGTGAATCTTGTTTACAGGCTAAGCATACTAGACTCTAGACTTCCTTTTGTGAACAACAGTATTAAAAGATAGTAATGTTTTTAACTCATTCACATCGACATTTGGGGTGGATTTCATGAGCCTTCTCTTACTGGGGCACGTTATTTTCTGACTATTGTCAATGATTTTAGTTGTGCTGTATGGGTTTTCTTCCTACGAAACAAATCGGAAGTGGCTCGATATATGCTTGTTTTCTATCGTCAAGTGCATCGTCAATATGGTAAGAATGTCTATCGCATTCAGGAAAATAATGGTTGAGAATTATCTACTCCAGCACTTTGTGACTTCTATGAACAAGAGGGTATCATTCTTCAAACCTCTTGCACGGATACGCCCCAAAAGAATGGGGTGTTCGAACGTAAGCATCTTCACCTGCTTGATACTGCTTGAGCCTTACGTTTTCACGTTGGACTTCCACTTCATTATCAGGGCGAGCGCATCCTCACTGTCGCATATCTCATCAGCAGATTGCCCCTCGTTCCTATTCAACATCAGATATCCGATTATTCTTGGGCATCTTCCTAAGTATGATCATCTCCGGAGCTTGGGTTGTCTCGTCGATGCCAAAAATACTCGTCAAAATCTCCATAAGTTCAAAGCACGCGGTCGACCGGGTATCTTTGTCGGCTATCATGCTACGCAGCGAGGCTATCAAATTTTTTATCTCGAGAAACAAGAGGTTTACACCTCTCGTGATGTTGTGTTTATTGAGCACTTGTTCCTGTACAAAGACCCACATGTGTTGGAGGGGGCGTTCTCGCCCATGGATTCTTATCCCCTTGATTCTCTCATGCTTGTGCGTCTTGTGGATAATCTTTCACCCTCATCTCCCTCGTGTTCGGGTGCGCTGGCGGCATCATCTCCGACTCTAGATGCTAGTCCAAGCACTCACAAGACCTCTAGCGAGGCTTCTTCTACCTTGGTGGAATGGGTCACTCCTCTAACGACCATTCCCCCTACTCCTTCGTCGCTCGACATCTCCGCTCACTTGTCTATTGACTTGGCGGATCTCACATACGGCAATAGCCTCGCCACTAATCCTTCACCTATGACGTCTTCCACTCTCTCGCTCGTTGTAACATCCCACCCGAAAACTCATGGGTTGAACCACTGGTTCACCCGCACAACAGAAAATACTAACGGGGTTTACGTATTAACTCATCATTCAATAAATATACATCTTTCTTTTACTAAACATAACTCGAGGTGAACATATATATATATATATATATATATATATATATATATCAAATCTAACACATTTATTAATATCCAATCTCGTTTATTAAACATACAACATCCAATTCATGATATCAAATCCAAACACTAGTTCGTTGAAACTCAAATCTCCATCTTACATACTTTGGTACAATCCATAAATCATAATAACTCAATCGATCAAATTCAATGCAATCAAACTCAACATAATACATGTTTATGATACTTGTTTTAAAACACAAAACATAGGTAAAAACTCTCCTCCGGCCAATTGTCTGCTACCTCATGATGGAGTAGAAGTTGCACAGCTTCGACGTCCAAGCTAAGTTCCTCTGCTGCGGATCTGAACACAAAAGGGGAGGGGGTCAGCTAACTAATTTAGCTGAGGTGTGACGATGTTCCCTCCTACACGGCGAAGTCTATGGATACGTTTTCCACATCAGTTGATTAACCACCTAATCATGGCATCTAGGTTGAAGTCTCAACCTAATATAATTCTCAACCTAGAATCCAATATCTAGACAATATGCAAGTGCAATGCATTTTCATTTTATTAATTTGGGCGCCAAGGTCACCATACATCCACCCCCGCTCGAGCCTCATCATCTTAGTGGTTATATCAGAAACCACAATCATATCTCTCTGGCCACTGGCCTCATCGATCCTAATGATCGTCAGTAACAATATCAAATGGTTGGGGGTAAATGCAGGGCCTTTCTAAGTCTATGTGATTAATATGAACATCATATAAA